CACCCCCTAGCCGGCCGAGCCTGGGACCCAGCAACCCGGGACCCAGGGGCGACCACCCCCGCCGGGGACCCAGCAGAGCCCAGGGACCCAGACCCCACCAGACAGCCACCGGGATTGACCAGGCAGGCGCCAAAGATCTTAAACCCCCTGACCCAGAGCCACGAACTCTCAGGCAGACCAAGGCACCACACCCCACACCAGGTGTGGCAGGGGGAGGGGAGACGAAGATCTATATCATAAAAAGAAGTCCCAGGAGAAGAGAGGAGTCAAAGGCCCAACCTGACATATACAGTCATACACAAACACAGTCACACACTCCCTCCCTCATGCTCACACATGCACATACAACCAAAGACTTACAAAAATGCACGCCGGACACCCACTCATGCTCCCCATACACACCCTATTCACTCTGGTCCCGGTACTGCTGCACATTAGGTACAACCATTTCCGGTTACCAGAGTTTGACCCTTTCTGCTGGGGTGCTGATGAGCAGGCTCCCCCGCCCAACGCTGAGCACAGCAACCCACCACCCCAGACCCCAACCAGACAGCCAGATCTCCCTCCTAGCCTCCAGCCCAAGGAAGCCAAGCGACAACAGAGGTGTGCTAAGACCCCTAGTCTCCCTCCGCCTGCTCTAATATAGTGTTAGTGTGTGTTGATGAGGTGTATTCCATGGCTGTGGTGAGCGGGCAGTGCGGGCGTTGTCTGGCCTATGCCAGCTGATGCCAACACACCACCCCACTTGCACCCACAGCCCTTGGTGTCCAAGTGCAGTTTAAAATTGGAAGTGGGCACCGGCACTCGGGAGGAGGCTGAGAAATCCCCCTGCCAAGTGCCGTTGAATGTGCTCACTCCCAAGGCCTTAAGTGTGTGTTTGTGTGGAATGTCTTCGGTGGACGTGTATAAGGTGCAAATAAAATTGGGGGGCAGGTTGCCACAGGTATGCGGAAATGGAGTCCATACCCGCACTCCCTGACTTTCCACCCCCCAAGGTCCTATGTGCATGTTTGTGTGATGATGTGAGGGAGCAGGAGGAGCAGCATTGTTCTTGTATTCTCTTTTCCCCTTTTCTTTGTGCTAGGCTATTCCTGAATGCAGTTTGTTGTGCTAAATATTTAATAAAGTTAACTACACAGTAGAAGGAGTATCTTTAATTCTTCCTGGTGTAGAGTGAATCTGGTAAGGTTAAGTATAAAACTCACCCTATTAGCTGCATAAGCTGCCAGAACAGAACAAAACATTCTACTTGTTCCACAAATAGAGAGAAATATCTACATAATAGTTAGTTGAAGGTAAAGCAGAAGAGAAAGATGTTTTACTAATACTTTACTTTTCCTTTAAAGTGGAGCTTCGCTGAGAAACGTATATTATGTTTAATTTTTGAAATACAGTCGGTAACTTTGAGCATCATGTGAATGCAAGACATGAAAAGTCCTAAATTAGAAAGGAAATAGATGGGGAAACATTCAGGTCTGCCAAAGCCAGTCCCTTTTACATCACTGGGAAAATTAGCATTTATTCAGCCACCTTGGCTCAGAACCGCGGAAGGCTGTTGTGGGTTCAGCGTCCTGGAGAGAGCAGAGTGTGTCTCAGCCAGTAGAAGCTAACCATTAGCATTAGCAACTCCACAACATGGCAGAACTCCTTTAGTCTTGTGTTATTTTTGGTGATAAAACATCAATTTTGCATGTTTTACTAAAGAATGAAAAGCAAGCGGAGATAGCAGAAGAACCATATTGATGTTAGCCAATCGGAGGCGAGACTTGGCGTTAAAAGAGTAACCCCGGCTTTCCACAGCAGCCGTCAGCAGCACGTTACTGCAGCAGCACGTCATAGCTGCTGATAGGAACGGCTGTGGTCAACAGAACCTTTTCCACAGGAGCCGTCAGCAGCCGTCAGCAGCGCGAGTCGGCCGCGTCTCAGGAGCAGCATGTCGCGGCCTTTACGCGCCGGTTCTATTTCCTACGCGCGACGCCTCTGAAACGGGTCAAGTTCGACATTTTTGGGGAAGGAAAGACAGGAAATTGGACGCGGAAATGGAGAGAAGCTCCCGAGATTTTCAGAATAAAGAACGTACTGCCTTCCGGTCGCTTTACTTTAAAAAAGGTTACTAACTGTGCGGCCCCGTGAGAAGTTATCACCTAGCTAGCGGTCTCCTTTGTTTTTCAGGTCCGTATTGGCGATTATAAAACGGACAGAGTATAAAAACACAAACATTTTGGAGCCATGTTGTAGTTTTCTCCTGCTTGTTGTTGTGTTTACTGACGAAGTCACTCGTGTGACTTCGTGCCCTGTCGGTGACAGCTGCTCCTCTGCTGCGTCGCGTCTCGTGGGAAGGGCCAAGCAGCAGCTAGACGTGCTGCTGCAGTAACGTGCTGCTGACGGCTCCCGTGGAAACCCGGGGTTAAGACTCATAATCCTCTTACTAACTTCTAAACTGGAGCACCAGAGCTTTTCCCCACAGAAAACGACTCTCAAGGCGAAACCACGGCAGATTTATTGGAAAAAAAATGAGTGAATGAGAGCTTTTTACTGACTACAGCCATGTTCTGCTGTGGTATTGGCAGGAACACTACTTGGAAAGTATTTTAAAATATTTTAAACAACAAACTTTATTATCATGTTCTGATTTAAATACTTTAACTTTTCAGCACAAAGTCACTAACAAAGCTAAAATAAAATGTCATCTTTAGAACAACAAACTTCGACTCCCAGTTGGTCCACGCACGTTTTCTCTTTAAATCCTATCATTTCTAATAGCCAACCATGTCTCCTGACTTCCACATCACTTGTGGATCAGGGTGTTTCTGATGGAAGATCATCAGGGAAAATCACTTTCACACTTCACGTCTTCAGTTTCCTTACAACACCATCAAAATATTTTCCCCTTTTTTTGTCGATCATAAAATTCTCAACTTTAAAAACTACAGAGGTCCCACTGATTATTTTTGCTCCAGCATAAATAAATAAATAAATACATAAATACACACATGCATAAATGTGTAACACATTAAGCCTAAGAAGACGGCTTCATTTTTACATTAATTCTTCACAGTTACAGTCATTTTAACTGCTGACGTGAACATGCACTTGGTGCCTAGCACACTGAAATCTGCTTTAAAAGGTTTGTCAAATAAAATCCACCAAAATTGTCAACTACATAAAAACATGTTTGATCTGACACAAAAATCCTGGCAAACATGACACCATTTTAAACAATCTGTCACATCTGCGGCAGTCCCTCCCTCCCGTTGGGACACAATGGCAGGAGAGGGTAAATTTGTTAACTACAGCACAACTGCTGTATAATTAAGTTGTGCACTGTTGGCAAAAATAAATTAATAAATTAAAAAAAAACCTACACACTTGTATTCTGTACTGAAGTAGGCTGCAGAAAACAGATTACCATCATTTCCAGGGTCCAATACTTGATCAAGAAAAAAGTAGCTTGTGTTTTAATAATATATCATTTGTCAATAGCAAAATGAAAAAGCCTTTCAGAAGTGTGTACAAAGTGGCAGTCTGTAATCATGTTGTCTTTGTGGTTGTCAACTGGCATTTAGAAATCCATGCCCCATGCTAAAATACTGACCTTTCTCACTCCCCCCCAGGCGCTCTTTCCTTCAAGTTATTGGAATCGTTTCTCAACTGTGAAGTCAAAGTCATGTTGTGAGCCCCGTGTCCTGACCTCCATTTACTTTCCAGAGAAGACTTACTTGGCTCCAGTGGTTAAAAGGTCCAATTAGAGAGGGCTGTTTGTGTTCCGTGGGTTTGATTTTAATTTCTGCAGCCACAGAGACTGTGAGCACAACGGCTCGATGCCGGGGCACCGCCTCTGCTGTTCCACCACCCCGCTGTAGCCCTTGGAGTTGTTGTTGGTCTGAACCCTGACGGAAAACCCCGACTGCACCAGAACATAAAGCCTGATGTAGCAGAATAGGCTTGAGGTTTCATTTTATTTGCTTGTTTGTTTGTTTGTTTTGAGGAGGGATTCCATTTATGTATGCAGTTGCAACAGCAACCGGCATCGAAGACAGCGTTCTGATTCAAGCCAGAGTGACAGGGGATAGCACGGGGGTGGGGGCAGGACCCAATATAAATGACTCCTGATCGTAGCACAGCCCCGGGATTCTACATCAAGCTTAACTAATGTGCAATTAAGCTGTGGACTGGAAGAAAATCACCTTGTAAAAACGTTTGTCAAGTGAACAGTTCTTCTGTTCTGGGCTGCTAATTAACAAGGGAAGGGGAAGAGGGGTTTGTTTGCATGTGTATTTACATATATATGAAGAAAATAAATATCCGCTCTGTTAGGGGAGAGCATTACTAAATCCCCTTCATACGTCTCTATTAAACAACGCTGACATGCAGTCCCTATCATTAAGCAATAATAGTTTACTTTACAGCTCATGAACTACAGTATCAACAAATTAAGCCCACTGATAGAGCAGAGTGCCAAGTGAGGCATTGTGGGGTGGCGGGGTGGGGTGAGAGCAATGCAGGGAGGAGGGGAAGGGCGCAAGGAGAATGCAAGGCTTTATTGTGTCTGTCACTTTAAACGATATTGCAACCACACTCGAAGTAATGAAGACCACTTCTAAAGTCATTTAAAAGTCAAATCATCACCGTCTGTGAATTTCAATGATGTGTAATAGAAAGAGCACGCCAGAGGCTCGAGAGGAGGCAGAGAGAGAGAGGGAGAGGACAGAGTGAGGCCACTGGGTGTCAGGAGTCAGGAAGCTGCTGTTCTCTCTGCAGACATAAAGGTGATAGATGAAACCTCAAGACTGGAGCTGATGCGTGACTCACAGGAGGATGGTGCAAATGCAGGACGGTGCTTCGTGTTGGGCGTTTTAGCAGGATCTGACATGCTTTAGAATGTGTAATGTGTGTGTGTGTGTGTGTGTGTGTGTGTGTGTGTGTGTGTGTGTGTGTGTGTGTGTGTGTGTGTGTGTGTGTGTGTGTGTGTGTGTGTGTGTGTGTGTACTGTCTGGCAGGTTCCTGAGTCTGAGGCTGTGAAGGTGGAGGACTCCCGGGTGTGGGTTCCTGCTGAGGAACCCATCGTTAACCCAGACTTCCTGCTTGACTCCAAGATCTGGGAGATTTGCCAGCAGCTGCCTATCCACTGGATTCATCCCTCCCCCATGACCGGTGAGAGCAGGGGGCAGCTCTGCCTCTAAATGCAGACTATTAGGACTCTTGCTGGAGGGCATCCCTACAGGCCCAATGCAGGTCCGCAGAGACGGTATGATTTACCAACCGTACAAGCAGCTTGCCCAGGCTGCTCTCTGTGTGTCAGGAAAGTTTAGACACTGAAGGACTGTGGTGGAGGGACAATTCAGACCCAACATGTCATCAGTAAGAAATCTAACAAGAAAAGTTCTCTAAAAAGTTTCAAACATGGAAGTTTCATTAAACTTATAGGTAGGATTACATTTTCGAGCTGAAGTGAACCTAGTTCTTCTATTTGTTTTTATTACCTTTTTCCTTTTATTATTTTAGACCTGTTTACATTTATATTCTGATCATAGCAAATCAGCACAATATCAAGGGGTCAATCTAGTGAAAGACGTTTTGTCCTAAACCAGCTTCTTGAGCAGCAGTGCTTGTTTGCCACATTTAAACTAAAACATAAAGGAAGGCTGTAGCATTATGCAGCAGTGGTGGAAAATCAGGTTCAAGGAAATGATCCAAACTTAATATCTGACAATATTATTGAATATTACAGCTTTTCAGTTTTAAACTCCAAAGGATAAAATAATCTGTTAACAAATAAGCAGTTTTATTATTTGGAAACTTAATGTGAAAAATAACACAAACAAATTAAAACAACAACAAATACACTCTTCTCTGCCTCTGATTGGCTCAATTTACCAAATCAAAAATGTTTCTCTGGCCATGAGCTGAACAAGGACACCTCTGAAATACTCATTTTAGTTTATTCTCAGTTAGTTTATTCATTCTGTATATTCAGCTGTACTTTTTCTCTGCTCCTAAAATGTCATGAGTGTAATGTGTTACAATGCACATGTCTAACTCATTGAGTGAAACCTGAGTTCTCTGAACCTGACGGCCAGTGTTGTACTTTATAAACGTCACTTGACTGTTCTTGGTTAGTTGGAGGCACAAAAATGCAACAAGATACAAAAGTGTCCACTTGGAATCACTCAGAATTGGCACGTCTGACACTTGTCTGTGAAGTTTTACGTATGATGAGGTAACGGAATTCTTGCAAACAAATTGTGATCGAAATGCAGATTTTCTTGCCCCTATTGTGTTTTAAAGTGTCCTAATTATGTCTCAATTTACCCAACTCTGCTCCTCCACAGTCTCTCTGTTGTTATGTCCTTGGGCCATGTGCAAATGTTGGTGGTGGTCAGGGTCAGCCTCGCCTCTGTCAGACTGCCCTGAGGTAGCTTACCACCACCAGAAAGCAAATGTGGGTGCAAGAAAGGAGAATTCTCTGTGAAGCATTTTAGGTGCATTGAAAGGCTACAGAAGCCCATCCATCCACCCATTTTCTGAACCCGCTTGGCCACGCGGGGTCGCGGGGGGGGGGGGGGGGGGGTCTGGTGCCTATCTCCAGCAGCCAATGGGCAATCAGGTGGGGTACACCCTGGACAGAGAGCCAGTCCATCACAGGGCAACAGAGAGACACACAGGACAAACAATCATGCACACACACACACACCTAAGGACAATTTAGACAGACCAATCAACCTAACAGTCACGTTTTTGGACTGTGGGAGGAAGCCGGAGGACCCGGAGAGAACCCACGCATGCACAGGGAGAACATGCAAACTCCATGCAGAAAGACCCCAGGCCGGGAAACGAACCCAGGACCTCCTTGCTGCAAGGCAACAGCTTTAACCACTGCACCACTGTGCAGCCTGCTATAGAAATCAAATGAGTTATTATTATTATTATTATTATTATTATTATTATTATTATTATTAGGCACGTTCAAGAACCTTTGCATTTGGTCCTTGCTGATGAATGTCTATTACAGCACTTAATCATTCACTCTATCTTAATATCACAAAACATAAAGATTCATCTCTTGTAGCTGACTGAACGATTGTGTTCATTTGTAAAATTAGCCTTTTGTTTTCCCGAGACAAATCAACTTATTACAAGTAAAAGGTGATTTTGTTAGGATGACAAGATAATTACAACACTGTAGAAATGGAGCTGTGATTAAAAAAAAGCAGTGACCCAAATAGCATCAGTAAAACAAAACAACACTGATGGAGAAGCTGTTTTCAGCCATGAGGATGAATTTGATGTTCCAGTGTCAGATGGGATTGTGAGTTTCAGCTCATTATGGAGCTGTCTGACCTGTAATTATTTAGTTTTGCTTCACTCTCATCTGTTTTCACAGGACATAAAAAGTCACACAATCAAGCCAGCATGAAAACAGCAGAAACACGCTGTTAACAAGCAGCAGCAGGGGATAGAGACTTTTGTTGCTGTGAAGTTTTTGTTTTGATAGAGAAAACAATGAGTGATCAGCTAGAATTGTGTCTCCATGTGTTTGTGTTTTGTTTTTAACTTAGCAGGAGTTGTTTGCTGCCATAGTACCATAAAAGATATTTGATAGCATATTTATTGAACAGATGAATAATTGGAACATTATGATAAAAATGCATAAAACCAGTGAAATCTTGTTAAATCGGTTGAAAAGATCACAATGGCAGAGTTTTATGACTCGTTAGACAAACCCTGACTTGTAAGGATTCAATTCAATTCAATTCAGTAATACTTTATTAATCCCAGAGGGAAATTAGAGTTTCAGTACACACAATTCTGAGATCAGACATACATACATAGACACACATGACAAGAATTGGTGACTGTGGTCATTCGCAACCCTACTTGCGCTACTGTAATAGATCAAGAGGGCTTATATGAGGATAGAGTCAGGGGGAGGGGATAAAAGGCACTTCAGAGTTACCCTCAACAGAGAGGGCAGTTTTGCTATGCAAAAAACACCTCAGACAGATATGCACACAGACTTCAGACATTACACAACATAAGTGTCCACTAGGTGGGGAGGTAGGGTTGGGACTCTCCTCACTTCAGTGCCTGCAGCTGCATGGAGCAGCACTCATCACCTCCGTTTGGACAGGGGAGGGAGATAATGGGTTAGAGAGCACATTGACTCCAAAGCCCCCTTCAGACAGGCCATGAAAAACGGAAATGTTCCGGATTCTGTCCGTAAGACCTCTGTGTCTGAATACAAACATCCGGATAACGTGTTCCGGAATTTATCCGGACGAAGCCCCTAGTAACAGGTCCGGAAATGTTACGGACAGGGTGGCTGCTTCAGACTGGTGAGGTAGAGTTCCGGACAAGGGGAGGGGGAGGAGGAGGGGACCGGGGGACGCTGTGCGCACCCAGATAGCTCGCTGCTGTAGCATGCGGCGAACCACGGCAGCTCGCCTCCTACGGTACCGCCTAGACGCGCGACGGAGCGCTTCACACCGCTTCAGTGATTCTTTTAACCATTGAGCTTCATCATCCAGGTCTCTTATGTGTCTTCGTGTGCGCAGAATTATGCTTAAGCGCCTCGTGATTTTTATCTTGAGAGGCGCTATAGAAATGATATTTTCTTCTTCTTCTTCTTCTTAACATGAGTCCGATTCTCTCTCCCCCCACTACCACCCCCCACCCCCACCCCCACCACCCCCACCACCCCACCCCCCGCCGCCGTCAGACATCTGGAATTTTTCCCTGCTGTGTGAACGCAGCCGAAAGGACAAGTTCCGGTACAAAAGTGGTGTGTCTGAAAACACAGTTCCGGTTAAAAACCGGATTGAATTGTCCGCAAATGTTCCAGAATGTCTATCTGAAAAGGGCTCTAGATACAGTTCCACGGCCTTCACCGGTCACAGTCCTGCCCAGGCTGGGATAGGGAGAGAGAGTTTCCATAGCGACAGCCGCATTCCACATTTCTTCTGAGGGGAGTTTACACTTCAGCCTCACAGGCTCCAAGGGCACCAGATTCAGATAAGGATTATTTGGGGACAGACAGAGATAATTTCCTCTCTGCCTTAGTGTTCTGTTGGTCATCAACCCCTCTAGATCCAATAATGACGTAATTAATCTATCCCAATCCGTGCTGATCCGTCAACTCTCTCCTTGATCAAATCAACCTTCTGTGCCAGAGCCTGAATCTCAGCCAAAGTTCCAAGCTTATGACTCATCTCGACAATTATATGAGTTTGTGCGTTCACAGCCCGATGCATTCCATCCCTGAGCTCCGGGATTGAGCCAATATTCCTCGAAAGCGTGTTAATTTTCCGGTAAGCCAGGTAACCGCTCAGGCCAAACAGCAGGAATCCCGACACCAGGATAAAGATTTCTGCGGTTTCTCTGAAACAAACTAGTGGACTAGATGTGTGTGTCCTTCTAAGATGAAAAGCAATCACCTAAAAGTGTTCTTATGTATATATGAGTTGTCTTTATTTGCTTAAATATGATTTTTATAATATATTATAGATGTCTAAAAATTTGGAGATGTATGTAAGATGTATAAATATAATAAGAAATATTCTGGAAGCTTTTGAGTGCTAAAATGTGGAATATTTATATATATATATATATATTTAAATATGTCTACACACTAAACTAGTGATGCAACACAACAGCTATGCTTTTATTGTAGATGAAAAGTGAAGCCATGATGTCCCATTTCCAGGTGTTTCAGCACAAATTTACACAGAAGAAAGTTTGGAAATATCTCGCCTGCTCACCTGAACACAATAATGAAATTATTTAAGCATCAAATAACTAATTAATAACCCAGGCCCAGGTCACACAGCTAAATATTGTTAGACAATTTAAAAAAATATTAGATTGTTTATGTGGCAATACAAATTCATAGACATACCAGTTTTGTCCCACTGTGGCAATAATTACACATTACACACCAACTGATTTGACATTCGAACATCCCTCGTTCAGACAGGAAATCTCCTGTGATCAAACGTAACTAGTATAAAAAAACCATGGTGGAAGAAGAGCGTGCAGCTTGCTTCCTTCACCTTGTTTTCTGATTAGCTACACGTGACGTTCAACAGGGATTACACTTGTTTATCCTCAAAAACTGGACAACGACAATCCAACACATTTGAAAGAGATTACTTATTATTGTAGAAGTCCTGGCATGCTTCCAAAGAGACCAGAGGACTCTTAATACACCACACATGGTAGAAATATCTGATAAGATTATCCTTAGAGACATTACCAGAGGACTCTTAAGTCACCATACATGGTAGGAATATCTGATAAGGTCATCTTTAGAGACATTACGGTAATGAGGTGTGTCAATAAGATTGTCAGAAAGGGGATTCTCGGGTTAAAAGTCATGATGACAAAGTACTTACTCTTTTAGAAAACACATTTGTTTAGGTCTAAATCCATAAAATAATCTGTCATTTCAGATGCTGAGGATCAGGATGAGGACACGCCCGATGTAGAGGTCGCGGGTCAGCGTTTTGCCCGCAACGTCCTGGACCGCTCTCCAGTAAATGACTATGTAAGTTACTCAGAGACCACACTGCGAGATACAGTGAGCTACTTCAATCAGCCCCTGCTCTGCCTCGACTCTGTCTGCATATAAATTGCTCACTAATTGATGTTAAAACTGACTTTGTGCACCAGAGGGCAGAGCAATTGCTCTATATATCTGTTGTAGTAAGGCTAGTTCATTGAAGACTCCCTTAATGTCTCTCCATTAATTGAGAGGAATATCCAGCCTTTCAAAGGCAGCAACTTGTGCCTTACAGCATCCTTTAGTGCCTTTTTTCTTATTCCTTTTTTTTTCCTCAGCCAACGGACAGCACTGTACAAAGAAACACTCTCAAGGTCACTTATTGCTGCACAGATATGTTGCATTTATTAATAATGCTTTAATTATCAAAGCACACAAAATGAAAGGAGAGGCCAAGTGGCATATTTTGGCATGCCGCATATAAACCACTCAATTCAGTGTGTGTGATTAATTATCCCTGACTGTGAGGGAAATTTCCCATCGCATAGTATATTACACAGAAACAGAGCGCTCAAAGTGACACAAGAAAGCTGCCGTTGCACACTGAAGACACACACAGGAGCAGGAAAATGCACACAAACACAACGCTAACAGGTGAGTTGTCGCTACAGCTAGCTTCAAGGATAATGAGTCAGAGCTACAAGAAACGGCGAGAGACATGCGGAGAAATGAGATGTCCTATAACGTTGACATTTATCAAACTCGTCCCAGAAACAACTTTTCCCGGCAGCCCCTCTGTCTTCTCCCCCGGCGTCTGCGAGATGCAGCACGGTGCAATTAAAACATACCAGGGCATGAAAACCTCAGCTCTCCTTTTGAAACGTTCTACCACTATCAGCTGAGTAATGCATACCATTGCAATCCATTCCAGCAGCACGCTCAGGCGCTGTTTGTGGGTCTGGTGATAACAAAGGCCTTTGTGGACATGCGGAGGGCAAGCAGTGGTCTGTAATTGGGAGTCTGAACTCTCACTCATGTCAGTGGGATGCCAAACGTGTGAGCCAAGCTTTATTAAATTTTTTATTTATTTTTCCCCTTCCAGAGTTCATTTCAATGCACAAACAGTCAGCAAAGGCGCGTGCACGTGTGCACACACGGTCTTCTGCCTGAGCCCCTGCATCCTTTCTTCTGTCACACAAGCAGACCCATAAAAAACATGCATTCGCTTCATCTGCATTTCATAAGCTTGAAATCCAGCACCACTTCTGCCCACAGTGCATGCTCATAAAGCAGAGTAATCATCTGAGTCCTTGTGACAGAGGCTGACAGATATATGCTGCTGAACTTTGCCACTGCTGCCATGTCAGAGTGCAGGTTGTCTCGAAGGTGGCCCTGGAAATTTCTAACTAAATAACTGCCCTCTGACAAGCCTGAAGGGACCGCACCGCTGCCCTTGACCCATTTATCCAGAATGAGCTGCTAATACAAACTGACCATTCAAGTGTACACATGTCAGCATTCTCTTGCTGCATTTCTGCATGTATCCAAGGATTCACGTTGGATGTTAAACTTGCTAAATCCATGGCAACCTCTAGATGCCACATTCAGTATGATGCATTAAAGAGGTGTAAAAAGCTGAAGGAACTGACTCCCATAAATGCAGGAGCTGTGAGTGCCTCCAGAAGAATCTTTACACTGAAGCTAAAGCTTCTTATCACTTTGACTATGCTGAAAAACACGACTATGTGCCTTAGTATTACTGTATATCCCATTTCATTGTCATTCCACCTTACTGTCAAGCACGGTGAGATAAAAATCTGGGGGCAACATTTGCAGCGACGCATTGCACACGTTGCTCCATCCTGTGTACTTGTATTTTTAAAGGAGACATATTATGACTTTTGAGTAATAATAGTTTGAAGGTCGAAACGTGCTTATGATGTTCTTAGCACTAAATTCCTCTCACATAAAGCAATTTAAGCAGTTTTATTCTTGACTGTTTTACTACCTTCCAGAATGAGCCATTTCGTGGTTCTGTCACTTTAAGAAAACAAGCTGGAGCTGGCCACACCTACCCATTGCCTGACTGGTTGCTATGAGCTGAGAAGCTCTGATATATGGCAGGAGCTCAAAGTGGAGCTGTTGCTGCTCCTGCGGCAGCTCTCTCGTGCACAAGAGAGTTGGTTCCGTTCTAATTTTCCCATTTGTGACATCACAAGTGGGGGCTTTTTGACACTGTCTGTTTCAGGCTAAAACCAAATACAAAAAAAAATATGGGTGGATGCATTTTTTTTACATTTGAAGTGTTTATAGAGGCTGTAGAAACCCACATGCCAGCACTAAAAGATGCAAAAGGGGAGGTTTTTTGTTTTGTTTTGATTTAAAGCTCTTTAAAATACAAAGCAGGGCATTATAAAGAAACATTATCTCTGCTGTTTTGATCAGCGGATGAATGTGATGAGCTCTGCTCTGAGATTTAATAACACACCCAGGCATGTGCTTCAAGCTCATGAAAAGCGGTGATCAGTGTGTGTGAAATAATACCAACAAGTGTGGAGATTAGAGAAGTCATGCTTTGATTCGCTACATCTTATTGAATGACTGACACAGTTTTCTACTCTGCCGACTCATTCACATCCACTGTCTCATATTATGCACAGAGGGGTGTGTGTGTGTGTGTGTGTGTGTGTGTGTGTGTGTGTGTGTGTGTGTGTGTGTGTGTGTGTGTGTGTGTGTGTGTGTGTGTGTGTGTGTGTGTGTGTGTGTGTGTGTGTGATGAAATCAGATGCAGCGAGGAGGTAATGGTTTCTACTCCTCATTAATGCTGCCTGTTTGTGAGTGACTGTCTCAGATTTCCCAAGGTGAACTATTCTTATCATGGCAGCTTCCCAGCAGAGACAGCAACTCAGAGCAAGAGTGATTAATATGTAGGCTCCGTTTTTAAAAAGGGTAGCTCTGATTAATTCTCTTTAAGGTACAATGCTGCCTATTGGCTGTTTGTTTTGATGAACGTCATTTGAATAAAATATTTTCCTCATTTTCCGAGCCGCAGCCCCAGACTTGGTTACATCCTGGTTCAGGCTGCGAGGAGGAGATAAGATTATCATTGGTCCATTGACAGCTTTCGTGTTGTTTCCATAACAGATTGTTGCCTGGGAGCTGATGACCTGAAACCTGGCTGGAACAATAAATCATTAAAAGCTTACCAGTGCCTGTCATAGTAATAAATCAAACCCATCTATCCTCGATATCATCTGTTGCAGCGCCTTTCTACGTGTTTTTAAAAATGTCTCACAAGTGTGTAATGTCACTCAGTTTATCAGAGCTCTCATCAAACCTCCTGATTGGTCATTGTTGTATGAAATTCAAAGCAGCTGGCTCCCACATAATAACACAAACAAAATGGCCATGACTGACTGCTCGGTGGCTTGCAGAGTAGATGCGAGAAATCCCCTTATCCCCCCGCCCTGCTCAAGGTGGAGGACTGAAGGGACTTGGCTCCGTTTCCCTCTGGGTCCAGTCCTCTTAAACATTTCCTATTCCCAAAAGTGGCTGTGTTTTGTTCCGCACCACTGCACGTAGCTGAGTCATTGTAAGCATTCCTTGCGCCGGTTTGTTCTGAATTCGAAGGCCGTCCCGGATCCGTGGAGATTAACGAGACCGAGACGGACCGTCTCAGAGGATTCATTTACTAAAAGAGATTGCAATGTCGTCAAAAGCGTGCTGAGGGCAGCCGCTGTCTCAACCCGCACCACCCGTTAAGTGGTACTTTTTCGAACACCATTTGGAGTTGTTCTTGATCAGAGGCATGGCAGTCAGCCCAAAGAGTCAATGAGGGCATGAACCAACCAGCACAATGGAAAAATCCAAGGGCCATTAATTCTACCCAATTTACCTTTCGTTTGGGTTTCATTTGGCTCCTCCATAAATTCAGAGGCAGCCAGCAAGAGCAAATGAAAGAATCCTTCTTAGGCGATCATTACTCTGCTAATTGCTTCAGGAATGTGCCTTGCACTTAAAGTCAAGGTCAGGGGGAGGGCATCAAGACGTGAGGAGCTCTGATTTGAATGCTCTGGTGGAGGAGGGACAGCCGTTTCTAGTGCAGTGTGTGCTGCAGTGGAGGGAGTTAAGAGGTCAGAGATGAAAGAAATAGTTTAATTATGTTGGTAACTAGCAACTCACAGTGTCTCAGACAGAAGATGATGCTGGTAGAGAGGTTGTGGCTGACTTCCCTGAGTAACTGCTAGTCGCGCTACCTCTGGTGTCATGAAAAGGTCAGGGGCGTTACATTTTACTCCTCCGAAGCTCAATTCAGACCTGTCTCTCTCTCTCTCTCTGTTATCTTGATCTCTGTCAGAGTCATTAAGCATGACACAACTTTGCATTTTCACAGAAATCAGTTCTGATCTTTTCACTCTTGTTTGGTTTTTACATACATCGCACTGACCTAGAACCAAGAGTAGCCTCATCAATTCACGTCATCCCGCTCCTCTTCCTCCTCTCTCCTGCCCTTGCCTCTGGAGGACTGGCATTTGTCATGTGTGTGTGTGATTGCAACCCTGTGTCCTCTGCAGAGGGATGTTGGAATCGAGCTGGATCACCGCCTGGATGACCGCGGCTTCTGCTGTCAGCACTGTCGCCGTGGTTACCGCTACTGTCAACGCTACCACGAGCCCCTGGGTGGATTCAACCCATGGCCATACTACTACCAAGGAGGCCGGGTCATCTGTCAGATCGTGATGCCATGCAACTGGTGGATCGCTCGTATGCTGGGGAGGATCTGATGTTTGTGTCGTCTCTGATGAATATTCCAGAATACCCCCTTTTGAGACCAAAGCAGGGACATGTACTTTGATTTTTTTCTTTTTACCATCAAAAACAAATCAACCAAACAAGGCATTTGAAATGTAATGATGCTTTCCTGAAAGGTACATATACACTAGAGCAGTGGTTCTCAGTCCTGGTTCTGGAGGACCGGTACCCAGCATGTTTTAGTCTTAACCCTGCCTCAACACACCTGATTTCAATCAGCAGGTGATTACCAGGCTTCTGCAGAGCCTGATGAGCTGCTGCAGGTGATTCAACCACTGAATCAAGCGTTGCTGCAGGGAAACAAGTAAAATGTGCTGGATAGCGGCCCTCCAGGGCCCCTGCATTTTAGTTCAATGTATGTAATAATAATCAAAGTGTATTGGGTATTTTAGCCGCTTCTTTGGCTTGCTTCAATTTTTATCTTACAAGATTTAAAGCTAATATTGTATTAACATGTACATGCCATGTATTTTTTCTTAAATGTGCTATAAGGCGTTTTCAGTTTCCAACAGAGCATAACCTGATCTATGTTTACTGGCCTTTTCAGACAGCAAAACATTGTTTGTTGTTAGTTAAAGTCTAAACATGCAACATGGTTTCATGAGGAGAAATCAAACCTGCCACTCCATCGAATCCCAAAGAGCAATCCAGAATGGAGATCTAATTGGATATCTGTCACTGAAAGGAGGGCTGCAGGGTTATAACTGTTGATTTACCTTATGTAGAGAGTCGTAGCTGAGGTCCAAGGAGGTGAAGATGTTCATTTGTGGAGTTTCCATGATGTGCAGCCAAATCATTGAAGAACTTTACATTCCTCACCCAACACCATAATTAAATTTCTATATTTTTAGAAGTTCCCCTCAAGAATAGTTGCTACATGCTTACAGAAGAACGACAACATGACCAATTATCACATAATATTTAGCAAACCTCGACTGCAAACTGCCGTTCAAGATGGGGGCAAAACAAATATCTCTGAGTAGGGCCTTTGGAATCAGACGTTCAACCAAGATATTGTAAACGTAGTCCGCCAGAAGCAGGAATTGATGTAGGTGGTGAGGCAACAAGTCAGTCTTATATGCTACCTGAAAATGTCTTTAAGTTCTGTTTAAATGGTAAATTTGTATAGTGCTTTGTTGGGGTTCTAGAACCCCCCCCCCCCCCAAGCACTTCACAACACATTCAGCCATCCACCCATGCACACACACATTCACACGCTGGTGATGATGAGCTACAATGCAGCCACAGCTGCCCTGGGACGCACTGACCGAGGTGAAGTTGCCAAACACTCCGACCACCACCAGCAGGCAAGGTGGGTTAAGTCTCTTGCCCAAAGACACAACAGCAACGTTCTCTGGTGAGAGCTGGGATCGAACCTACAACCGTCCGATTACTGGACAACCCGCTCTGCCTCCTGAGCTATGGCTGCCCAAAGGCCCCTATGGCAGCATTGGGATACTTTCAGCCCAGGAGCTTGCACAGTTATGAAAAATGTAGATGTAAAATCAGGACTCTTTCATGAGATCAACAACAGACCACCCTTATAAAATGATCCAGTCGAAACTTATAAAGCTTGCAAAGTTGTTGGAGATTTGTTGGGCTGCATCACTCTCAAAGGATTTTTTTCTCCAACCATCAACATGGATCAAACGATTTTAACACAACCCTGTCCGCGAGCGACACCTTCTTATCAGAGTCTAACTTCTGTTATAAAGTAATATTGTTTTTCTTGCATTTATCCCGCTAAAACGTTTCAAAGCTCGTAAACAGAATTGTAGGCAGTTGTTTTACTGGGCTGCATGAGATTGCATTGCATGAAATATTCCCAGTAAAATGTTCTGTTGTTACTTGTTTTCTTTGGTGTGTTTTTTTTTCTCTGTTTACTAAATTAGAAAGTTTTTGGAATACACCAAAAGCAAAAACTTCAAATGGCAAAAACATTCACAGGAGAAAGAATCAACAGGAAGAGAAATTTCAGAATCCAAGAGACAAAAAAAGATGCTCTAGGAAAAGGTTCCCAAACAAGTTAGTTCTTTTTTAACACTGAGATAACACGTAAGACGAATCAGCTAAAAAATTCTTTAAATGACATATTAAACGCATGGAGTCATGAACTACGGAAACTGAACATGCTGACGCCTCAGCCTCTCCGACTTTGACTTCATGTTTTTGTGTCAACTCCTGGTTTCTGTTGCCGTGTCGTTAAACTCACATACTGTAATTAAAGATGCACCAACGTCAGCTGTCTTTTGTGATGCACTGACTGATGTGTTATCCTCCTTTGTTTTCACGACTGCAGCAAAACGCTTAAAATAGTGCTCCTGTTAAAACGTTCCTCCTCTCTGCTGAGGCGATTCTAATCTGCAACAATGCATCTCGACGTGTTGAGCTGAAATGACTCATCTGCAAATAACAGATAAGCAAGTGAGATATGCATTTGTAATTGATGTTCTGTCATCACAATAACAAGGTGCATAAGCACCCAAGAGAATGGAAGCTTGGGGGGGTGGAGCTTTGAAGTCTTCTGTATGTCTCTATTGCTTTTCTTGTTTCTCCAATTAAAATTTCATTGTATGAATAATCTCACTTATCGTATCATGAAACATGGAGTTTCCTTGAAAGACTTCTGAAACCCAAGGGTGCTTGTGGAAAACTGATATTAGTATGGGACTGAATAAAAACGATTTCAGTCCCAAACTGGCTCGATGACATGGAGAAATATGGTTTTCTCATTTATTTATTTTTGAAATCTTGAGACTTTCTGCACATCTGATGGATAATAATGTTTTTTTTTCACAGTCACATGAATGCATCTCGCCTCCATTTAAATATGGATGCAGCTTTACGCCGTCCCAGTATGAAAATCTTAATGCTATCAGAATATAATTGGCAGTGACACTGAATTCGTCAAGGAAAAAAGATGCTGGAACAGTATGCAAATGACTTGTGAATTTACTCCTAAATGAAGTTCAGACTGCAACTGTATTGTTATTTTTGAACCAATAATGTCAATAGCCCAAAGCAACGTGTCAAGTAAAAAAAAAAATGCTGGCATATGTTAACAAATGCAGTAATTGCAAACATACTTCAAATGAAATGACAAATGTTGCACAGAGCCCCTAAGGCGGTTCTAAAAAGTTCATAAAATCAGTGTTTATTTAATTCATTGCTCTCCATTTTCTGCTCATCACATCAAATAGTCGAGTGTTTATTAAAATAGATCCATTCTCCCGTTTGAGTTTTTCCACTCATATTGTTCAGGAAATGGCATAAACAGTTTTTTTTGTTTGTTTTTTGTTTTTTTGCAAGATGCCATTAGTTGTCTATCTGAAGATTGTCTCTGAGGATTCTGAAGACTTTTGTGTGAACGTTAGAGTGAATTGCTGCAGTGGCCCTGAGAGTGGCTCTGAATGGGGTGGTTCACCTAACTGGAGAGGCTGATACAGATATTACAGCTGGCTCCCTGAGAGCTCCTCATGCCTGTTGGGACAGAAAGTCCAATATCAGGCATGAAAGTCAAACTTTGAAGGCTCACAATTAAAAATGATTGTGGAGGAGGCCTGGAGTGACTCTGGATGGTGGTGATGGAAAAGATGAAATTTTAAAAGGTGTGGAACACTCGTTTAATCAATATGTTTGTAGTAGTCTCTAGGAGGAATGAATGCTTTGTAAGTCGTACTCGGGGGGGGGGGGGGGGGGGGGGGGGGCTAGTGCACCATTTCCAGAAACTTACAGTGACCCACATCACAGCTGAGCATCAGACAGCGGGTTTTGGTGTCTTGTTTCCTGATATTTGGACATCTCGCAACTCTACCACTTACTTGCAATGTGGATGTTTTATCTCCACAAATAACACAAGTTTGAAAGAGTTTTGCTGTGTTGCGGAATTGCTAACGCTAACGGTTAGCTTCTACTAGCTGAGACATTCTCTGCTGTTTCCTGGACAATAAAACTTCCTCGTCTTGAGTCAAGATGGGCGAGTCCATGAATGTCAAGTGACAGTATGACGTAGATCTGCCAGGCTTTTCTAATCCTAGAGTTTCACCTTCTAATTTCTGTCAGAAGCTAATGCAGGAGATGGGTGTAGGAGACCATTTTCAAAACTCAGTCATTTTAAAAATGTTTTTTCAGAGTTACGCGCCTTTATAAAAGTGCCTTTAAAAATAAATCCTCACACTGGTATCCAATACGACTCCAAACCTGCAGCTGTGCTTATGCCACGTTTATGATGCGCTCTTACTATGGCTCCTCTGATGATGCGACGTTGAGTACGTTAACCTGATTGTTTCTAGGAAATGTTGTGACTCTGATTTCTGAGGCTACTTGTGTCAGTCCAACAAAGTTCAAGGTTTGTTTTTTCTCCCCTCAACACAAATTCTTTATTTTACTTTATTTTTTCTGAAGGTCTCTTTATGCACAATAACACGAGAACATTTTGTGTGGAACCCTTTAGGTCGCTCAATAATTTAGGTGAAAATTGGAAAATGTGACCCACTTTTCTGTGCTGCAAGTTAAAACAAATCTCCAAAGGCTAATTTAGCATCTTTCAAAGAAAAAATTAAAAAGTTTAAATTTGAGATGGTTGTACTGACATGAGGAAGTCAGCAGGGCCAAGAAAAAGACATTTGATGTGATAAAAGCCAAATTCTCTCCTTAAAGATCTGATTCCAGATCATTTTGATGGACTTCTTTACATCTAATTTACATATGAATCTTAGACTGTCACTCAACTCCTATCTCCCAAACCAGACATTTGAAAAAGCAAACATTTAATTTAAAGTCCTGCAGGGTTTTTTTTTTTTTTTGCCTTGTGTTTTCTAGAAGAAACACCCTTCAGCTCTGGCCTACATTGGCTTCAATGAGCAGGGGAGAAGATCGACTGCTCTGCAGGATAAACACATATACCAGGCGTTTACCAGGTTATCACAGCTCAGAGGATTCTTCCTCCCTACCTGCCTGAGGAGTGGCCACTTTCATCGAAGCTTACGAGTGAATTAATGCCTTTTGTTACTTATCAGAAATGCAGGGACTTTACTCCCAGCTGCTTATTTTCATTTCAAATAATCCATCGTTTGTTTGGATGCTATTCTGGGTTGGGGGTGAAAACCAATGTATGTGGAGTATCTGTATTTAGATGAGTGACCTGAAGGAACACTTGTCTCCAACCCAGTCAGGCTTTGACTATGCTGAAGACACATGTACTAACAGTGCCATCTTGTGGTGAGGAAGGTCCAATGCTGCAACATAAAACATGATGTATTTTCCTCATTTTTTATTGTTCTTTTTTAAAACGTACCAAACCTGCTGTCCTTAAATCAACTGACTCCTGTTTCCATCAGATGATCCTAAAATGTTCACTTTAAATCTAATTTTAACCATGTCAAGTTAACAAAGTGGCCACGAGGCAACAATTCCCCCTCTGTGACGTTGCAGTCAGTCTGGTGACCTGATGGTTAAATAAGCTCTCCGTGTGCTGTTCCTGCTTCAGGCTGGAGGCGCAATAATGTCAGTCGTCATCCTTCAACCGCTCCCACTGTGAGAGGCAGCATAGCACAGCAGTAAACACTCGCACTGTGTCAGTGGCTGCAGGCGACCCAGAAATAGTCCTCTTCCAGGACCCTGCTCTCGCTCCATCTTCAGGGTCTCTGAGTCACAAACCAAACGGAACAGCTCTGACATGATGGCCGCTCACAGACTTTCATTATTCTAGTAATCCATGAGAGCCCTAGATTACCAAATGGTGGCTGATCAATGAACCACTTGCCAGAAAAGTTTCTTTCTGGATCATATCACACCTGAACGTGTGTGTGTGTGTGTGTGTGTGTGTGTCTAATACACTGAGGTCAGGGTTGGGAATAAACTGTTATTGGTTAGGGTATGGGTTAGGCATAGTGCAGTCGTTAAAATGAATGGATGTCAATTAAGAATAGAAATATGTGTGTTTTAAAATGAACCTTTTGGCTACAATAGATTATATTGTTGCACAGCTGTGCATGTGGGTGTAAACAGAGCATGGTGCAGTAGACAAACCACGCTACCAGACAGATTCCTAAACTCAGAAAGCAGTCGGTTGTAGTCGGTGCAACCAGAAACACACACTGTCCACCTAAATGCATCAAGTGTTCATGTGGACGTGCTATAACAGACTCCGTTCACGTCAGTGCAACTCTTTCTTCAACCATTCAAAGCCCACACACACACACACACTTCACTATGCAAGCTGTGCCGACAGACGTGGCTGTCTTTAGCTCCGGGCATGTCACATGCTAATGTATTCAACCACCCACAGCAACTGGAGAAGCAGCGCTCCTAAGTACAGTCCAATCAGTCTCTGGACTGCTAATGGCTCCAGTCCAGCTTCCTGCAGCAGCTTTTACTTTCTCTTTAAATGCCATGCGATCAAACGTCCCCCAAAGCTCCAGCTGCCCAACAATACCAGAGTTTTCAAGGTGGAAATGGTTTCATTATCTCCACCAATGGACTTGGTATCAACTATTTGTTTCAGGGTTTGGCTTCATTTTCTGTTTGTTTTTTTGTCCTGTGTGACATTTTTCCTCTCTGCTGTGCGTCATTGTCAAACCCTATTACTTTTGTTGATGTAGAAACAAATAAGATGCAAAAGAAAGCCAGCAAAGAAAGTTTTTTTAATTAGCATATTGACTTTTTCTTAAAAATCTTTTCTAAGTTCAGCATAAAGTAACCCAGGACAATGGAAGCAACAAAAAGCGTGCAGTGGACAAACATTTGACAGAAAACAGTGGTGTTGTAAGAAAATAAAGCCAGCTACGTATAAGAATATATACAATATGAAACCTAAAAAAGAAGCTGTAAGAAAGCAGACTCCAGCTGAAAGCCTGAGGGATTTGAACATAAATCAACCAGTGTAATTAATGATTGTCCAAACATTTGCACCAGCATGTGCTTTAAAACACAAGCGTACATTCAGAGTGCCTGCAGATGTGGAGATCTTTGGCTGATGAGGTTGTAAAGCAGCCTTTAACTCCTGTGCTGAGGGTGGAGGTCAGAATGTCTGAACAAGCTCGCTTCACAGCTACAGTCTGGCTGGAAACTACGACCAATTTAGCCTTGATACCCTTCAGGAATCAATATGGCTTCATTCCTTCAGGAACAGGGAGCCAATCAGATGGCTGGCCTGAGAGGTTCTTAAGGGACAGCCAAAAAAAAACAAAAACAAAAAAAAAAAACCAGAAAGCACAGACAAGTCTTGTGAGACAACAGGGTGGAAACGAGGAAGGAAATAAACTTAAAAAGTGCAGACATTTTTTAAAAAGAGGCTTTTTTGTGTCCAAAAGAAAGAAAGAAATCCCCTTAAAAGAGTTTAAACAGTAATGATTGATACAATTGATACACTATGCAATAAACAAAACATAATATTCTGAATGCGTATCCTGGACTACTTTACTGATGGAAAAAAAAACGTTTATCTGCTGAAAAGTGGGAACAAAATAAGCACATTCAGTAAATATTCAAATCAGATGTAGCAAGTATTCACAGAAAGAAGACAGAATAATGAATGTTGGGAATTCCGCTGGTTATATCATGGAATGCTACACATGAGGAAAATAAACTAAATTAGCTTCCTGTTTTCACCACTCATACTCTGAATCTTCCCTCGCGTGGAAAGAGAAAACAAATGTGCCTCGTTTTGTACAGAATTTAGGAATTCACAAAATAAATACATTTTTGTGGCCTTAAAATTGAATTTCAGTTGCATTTCATACATTACATATATAATTATAGATTCATATATATTTTATTTTCTATTAACAGGATTTAAACTTCGGAGACAGAGGCTGATAAAAATACCTCTTATCCTGCATACTCTGCCTCTGTTCCATCCCCTGTGTTGTCGTGCCTCCAGGTTGTAGCTCTATACAAAGTCTTGACGTTACGCCATCCTTGGTGGACAGAAAATGCCCATTTACATAGTAGCACAATGTCTTAAGGCAAAATCTAATCCAGAGTATTTGCATACATACTCTGTTTATAGCAAAACAAATGAATAGTAAGTACTTAACTGTCTGAAACAAAGAAAAATCAACCACTAACTCTTGAGTTGTCTAAACATGTCATAAGGCACTCTTCAATTAAACTCTGAGATGTCTTTCTGTTTTTTTTTTCCTTTTTGAAGATCAGATATAACCAACATTTATCCCTCAGAAAGTCCAAGGAGAAAATATACCCACGCTTCAGTCTTCAGACACGTCACCGTTTGGCATTCAGTCCTCGTTTTTGGTTCTCCTCTGTTGAGTTCGATTAGACGAAAGTTTAAAAAAAAAAACTAACTAACTGGCACATTTGGTAGACAGAGATCCCAAACTCATCCAATAGCTGCTACAGAAGCAGTTTGTGTTGAGATTTGTGTCTGCAGGAGATCATACTTAAATCTGACAGCTAACTTATGAAAAAATAACTAATTACTCCCTAGATTTTTGAAATTAGGCACATTGTCACAAAATGTGAGTAAACAATAAATCCTGAGGCTGAATTGACCAACGTTTAGGAGCAACACGATGCAAGATCCCTCACTTCTGATTTTCAATCAGATCTTCGCGGTAGGAAGAAAAAAAACAAGAATATCGAGTCTATGGTCACAATAAATTCAACTGTTACTTAATGGTTTGTGTGGAAGAGTCCCACAGCTCTAAGCCTCTGCAGGCTCGGTTTTTATCTGGATAAAATTTGCAGGCAGCTGAACAGACAGCGGCAGCTCCTGCAGGCTTTTGATTCCCTGCTCAGGCTGCAGGGACATCTCCCCACGCACCTCCAGCTCCTCCACGGGGGTCAGGCCCTCACTGGGGCTGCCGCTTTGGGAGTAATGTCCATTTATTATCGTTTCATTTGAAACCCCGTGGCTTTGACTGGTATCGATGATAACAGTCCTGTACTGCAGCTCGGCCTCCCCCACCTCCATCTCTTCTTTCTCAAACGTATGTGCCGCCAGTGATGGATCGCCATTCACCATCGAATGAAAGTAGCTGGGGTCAAGCATTTCCTCTTTGACCGGCAGCCCAGAGAGGTCACTGGATTTCAGCACAGTGGCAATTACGGTGCCAGGCTGCTGCGCCACCATGGTCTGCCCATTGGTGGTGTTGATGGTGACGAGGCGGGGGAGACCGTTGAGGCTGGAGGTGGTGGAACTAATGACTCCTGGAGGGGAAGTACAATGGGAGGCAGCGGAGGAAATGGAACAGGGGCCCAGATTGGTGACCAGAAGCTGCTGCGGGAGGCTGTCCTGCATGCTGTTGGCTCCACCTGCTAAAGAGGCTGTCTGGATGGTGAGAACTTCTTTACCACCCGCAGTCGTGGAGGGGATGGTGTGGAGGATAACCCGAGGAGGGGAGGAGTGGCTGGAGTCCCCGTTGGCCAGAACAGTTGTGAGAGGAACAGACTGCATGGAGCCGGAAGATGTCAGCATCATTGGAACCGACACAGGAGTGCTGATGGTCCTAAAAACAAGAGACAACAACTCTGAAAATGCGCTCCACAGAACTGCTGTAATCAAATATTCAGACTGTGTATTTGATCATAGGGACGAAGATCATTTTTCCATCAAAACCCACTGAGTAAAGTAAACTCCAAAAGCACCACGATGGTAAACAGCAGCACTAATACCCAGACTATTATTACAAACATTGCAGTAAAATTTGTTATTCTGTTCAATTTCTCACAGAAGACCATCTTTAACAGCTCAGAAAATATCACAGGAGTGATAATGCATTCATAACACAGGCAGTGGACTCAGCAGCAGCACAATAAAATTCTAACTAAACCTTAAGAAAGTAAATATGACCGTCTAAAGAAAGAAAGACTGTGAAACATTACAAACAGAGAACAATTACCAGTTCATCTGCCTGGTTTATTATTTTTTGTGTTTTTAGTGCTTCATAATCCATTTAATCCTAGACTCTCAATGACTGAGTTTTAGGAAATATGAGCTTTCAAGGTTCTCTTAGTTTGTTTGAGTAATATTAATATCCTTTATGCCTTTTTTTATTCTAGGACCACTTGTGTTTCACGTTTAGTCCAAAATCTCACTCTTTAATGGGTCAATCTGTAGTTTTTATCGTTAATCTCTGGAAATTTCCATCAAAATGTTGTTGAAAATGAATTAAATGATGCCCAGTTGTTGAAAAATATTGGCAGCTTCTTAACATATAACCATAAAAATCAGGTCTAAAATGCATGGGAGCGGGACTGAGGCAGGGTGACGCCATATTAGATGCCATGTTTCCTTCTACGGGAGCCCATGAGGACAAAATGCATTTACTGATTTGTAACATGCGGTTACTAAACTTCCACCATTCATAAACGTTGTTTTACACATTTACCTCTTTACTCATTGCCACTCATTGTCATTTTGCTAACGTTTGCACTCCCCAGGGCTTTTTGACCCTAATGGGCATCCGTTGGTATGGTCTTACTCCAGCACAAAAATTCTGCTTGCTGGCAACAATTCAGGAATCTACTGCCCCCATCACCAGGAAAAATACACACTGTCACTTTAATGTTAGTTAAATTAACTTGCAGGTCTTTATTTTATAAAGTGCAACATAAGCTTATTTTAAGAAGCCAAAACTTACACTTATTAACAATCATATTTAGTTATTCTGGTGGTGAACCTTTCATCAGTGGTGTCTCATCTATAGGGGTTGCTAGAGCACTGCTCTCTCTGATGGAATGGGAGAAAAAATCCAAAAGTTCTAGAATACATTTACAGATTTTTTACATAAATGTGTCAGATTGGGTCAGTACATGCGTGCAAATCTAAATTATTTACACATCATTTTGACCAGATGTTTCATCAAATGGAGAATTTCATCCAACAGACTCACTAATATCACTCCAGGGTGCTGGACAAATCACCCATGAACTGCAGCTAAACAGCCAATCAGGTTTGGTTTCTGGAGAGAACTAGAGAATTTTGAGCCAATCAGCATCCGTGAAGCCTCTGGGTTACTCACCCCGGACATCGCTTACGTAGACGCGACGTGGACTGGCACTGCCTATTGGAGCTGCCGTAGTGGCCGGCTGCCATCTTGGATGGGTCTCTATTCACCACCAGTGTATTTATTTCTACTGAGAAAGATGTTTACCCAACTAAGGAAAAACAAATTTGTTACACTTTTACACAAGGTAGGCTAGAAAAGTCAATAGTAATCCTACGTGATTTGTTTTCAATAGTGTGCTGGTTGTTGCAAACGTAGGCTGCACAAAAAATAAAAATAAAAAAACGGGCATAGTTAGTCACTCTGCATTGACTCCAGTTGGTTTTGGAGAGAGAGGAACGCATCCAATATGGCAGTGACTCTGTTACACTCTCCAGCGCCCAGTATGTATTTCAAGACTATGGTGATCCCTGCTAGGTACTCTTGCAGAAAACAGCTAGCCAGAATGCTAAAAGTTACTGAATCTCTGTCCCTCTCGTTTACATAAACTCACTGTTGGTTTAATATAGAGCTGAAATCATCCTGGAGCTGCTGCAGTAAAATCTGTTTATTTGTTCTTATTTTATATTATTTGAATGTTTAAAACCTGATCTAATTCAATTTCTATGCCACGTTATTGCCATCTACTGGTGGAACTGCGTATTGTGCGTTGAGGTGCTTTGAGCAGATGATTGAGACACAGACACTAAAAACTCAAGGTGAAAAAAAACAGGACAAAACACAATATAAAATAAAATTAAATTTAAATGAAAACAAAAATGGAAATTATGGAATGCAAAGGCACTTAAAGGCTTACACAAACAATGATGATCTGTTGCACACGTTATAGGTTATTTGTTAAACTTGTGACATAACCAGAGTCGATTTTACTGAACTTGTTATTTTAAATGGAGGTTCATGCCAGGTATATTTTTGAGTTTGGTGATTTAATGTGGTGACTTAAAGTCAAGTCGAAGCCATGTCGCTGTAGAGTGACCTGACAACCACCAACTGGCTACATAAATATGAAAACTTGATGTGAGAGTTGTGACCTCCTACCTCACAGCCTGAGCTGCATCATGAATGCTTGATCCTTGATTCTCATGCAAAAGGTGAACAGAGCGAAGGAGCTGCTCAGCCTGTCCAGCTTCCTGGTAAAGATCATCAATTTGCTCTTTTTTCATCGGTTTCACTGAGATGTGGTGTCCGCTGTGAGCCCTTCCGTGGCCTTTCGACCCTCCGCGCACCCCGGATCTCCCGTTGGCAGATCTCTGGTTCTCACTGACATCAGAACCCGTGTCCTCATCCTCAATCACCACCAGGTCCGCCGGCATCTCTTTAAACTGATAGACCAGCCGCTGCCCCTCCACTTTAGCCAGAATGCCTCTCTGATAGTAGTACCTAGGGGAGAAAGTAGATAAGAGTCTGTTCAACACATTATTGACATTATAGTGATTAAAGTTTTACAAGCCTCATAAAATTTTAAACCATCATTTCAGTGTGTTAATATGAACATATCTGCGGACGAATGTCTTCAAGGTTAAGAACTAAATGAGAGCTTGTGCGCATGATAATGTCACTTTGGAAAATGTCGCTCATTGGTATGCTGCTCCTACCTGAGAGCCCTCCCCATGGTCTCGTAGTTCATGTCAGGCTTGTTCTTGTGTTTGCCCCAAAGCTTTGAAACAGCCTTGGAGTCCACCAGCTTAAAGATGCCTTTTTCGCGCTGTGTCCACTTGATGTATTTGGGACAGGTGTTCTTATCTTGGAGTAAAGCCAGGAGGAATTCCCACAGGTAGATGGTGTTGCCTGCAGATAAAAGATGGGGTCATTGGAGGTGCAGTTTTAATATTCGTGCACCTCAAACATTCAAAGAGAGACCTCAGATCCATGCTAGGATTCATTTAGAGGAGGAGTTAGTATACGGAAGTCATGGAACAGCTCTTTTTATCCAGTTATTGTTCCAGAGTGTGTGTGTGCATGTGTATGCATATGTGTGTGTGCGTGCGTGTGTGCTCTTTGGAAAAGATAATTAATTATACCAAGTCTAGCAGTAGATTACTCTAATCTATTTGTGAGACGCTTTGGCCAGTTGTGGTTAAAAACAGCAACACTCCCAGAAGTCACTGGAATCCCAGCCACTGTGACAGGGTGATGCATACGAGCGCGGCCGAACCCGCTGTCCCAAGCCCTCCGCCGTGTCACACTGACTGGTGCAACAAAAGTCTGCACAGAGCAGAGCTACGCTGCTTCTATCAACAGAACATCAGTGTGCCCTCCAGCCTGCTATCACTTCTGTTTCCCTGTGAAGCACAACAACCCGAGATCCCCTCATCCATTAACTAGCTCGGATTCACCCCTGCTGGACCACCAGAAGTGAGAGCTGCTGTTTGCACTCTCCGCAGCAGGAAACACGGTGTGCACAAGAAGAGGAAGAGGCCTTGGTTTTTATTGGCTCATTAAAGAAAAGTGGAACAGTTAGGGAACCTTACCTTTGCCCTCTTTGCTCTTCTTCCTGAGTGGCAGGTTAGGGGTGGTGATAGGAGAGCAGGGACGCACCGCCCGCGGCTTTCGCACTGTGATTCAATTTGAAGAGGTGGTTTGTTATAAGGTGGAAGGCTATGATATCATCTAATCCTCTATTACACAGACGCTTTGACAGATTATTCCTGACAAAGAAATAAACGAGCGTTACCTTTGGTTTTTTTCTGAGGTTTTAAGGGATACTTGTGAGGAATTTCATCCATGGATGACGTCTCCTCATCTAGGGACACGTCAAGAGAAACGTTGTCCATTTGGTCAGGCCTCAACGGGGCGTATGCCATTTCTGACTCCAGCAGGGCATTGTAGGTGTGGACTGCACACAAACACTCATGTAATACCACAGCAGACCATGAACCCGGATGTGTTTGATGATGCACATCCAAACAAACTCACTCATACGCTTTTCATCCAAGATGTTGTTGGGAGACTCCATATTGAGCAGAGCTGCTGCTGCTTCGTTCGTCTCCATGCTGTCCTCTGCACCAGACACGTTCGTTTCTGTTTTACGTCAGAACATAAACATTGGACGTACATCTACTCATCGGCTTTTGGATCCAATAGGCAGATTTTAATGAAACTTCCAGACCTTTTCTTTGGATAAACTAAGAGATTAATATAATAATATTAATAATAATAATAATAATACATTTTATTTATAATGTGCTTTACATTACAGAGGTAATCTCAAAGTGCTACAGAGTATAGAGGACAGGTATAAGGTACACAGTTAGTTAAAACAGTTAAATTTTCAGAAATGCTACCAAGTAAAAACAGTCCCCAGAAATAGATCAAACCCATCTAAGAAAGCATTACAGTAAATGCAAACAATAAGTAAAAACAACACTACAGTAAAACATACAATAGGTCATTGTGCTCTAGAAAGCCTTAACAGAAAGGTCTTGAGGCCTTTTTTGAAAACCTCCAGATTGTGTGGCCCTTAGAAACTCGGAGAGAATTCCAAAATCGAGGGGCCACTGCCTTGAATGACCTCTTAACCCTTAAAAGCAAACAAAAAATGGGTTCAGCTCCTTCAGTTCCTATAAGGGATGTTTGATATTATCGGCCAATATTGGCATCAAAATGTAAGATTGGTAATGATGTGTATTGGTTTTGACTCTTAATGACAACGCTTACATACCATGTGCATGTTGTACATCAAAGTCTTCAACTACCTTTCCTCACACTCCAACTATTTAAATATGACATATGCGAGGTTTGTTTGTTTGGCACAACAGTCCAAACTTAAACTGAAGTAGTTGTCATATTTTGCACAGATAATATTTATAAGTGTGAATGATAGGAGATATGTGGTGTTAGGTCATTCATATTATATAGTTTTTATTTATTTATGAAGGAGACCCCGCATGTAATGGTATCAGTTTATATTGGTATCAGAAATTAAAATACATCAGGAAAAATAAATGATGAAACCTAAACTTGTATAGCGCTTTTCAGAGTTAGAGGACTCCAGAGCACTTTACAGTAAATCATTCACCCATTCACACCCTGGTGGTGATGAGCTACACTGTAGCCACAGCTGCCCTGGAGCGCCCTGACAGAGGAGAGGCTGCTGTACAATGGTGCTACCGGTCCTTCTGACCACCACCAGCAGGCAAGGGCACGACGACTGCAACAGATGGGGTTTGAACCTGCAACCGTCTGGTTCCAGGGTGGGCACTTAACTCTTCTGCCACCGTCGCCCCATATACTGGTAAAGCATATATGAAACATCCCTAGGTTTTACAGATACTGAGCTACATTTGATGTTTTAGTAGATTAGAGGCCATCACAACTCTATGATGATGATGATAAAGGTTTGTGCAACATCCTGCAGCTGTAATGTTGCTTTTAAATGTTCACATAAAAGGCCACAAGTAACAATGAGACTGAAAATAGAGCAAGATGCATTCATTCAAGGAAAACCAGAAGGTAACTTAAGTTTGTACATTTGAAAAAGGGTTGTAGTAGTAGTAGTAGTAGTAGTAGTAGTAGTAGTAGTAGTAGGGCTGGTTGAGTCTCAACCACAAATCGTGTATTTTGGAGACACAGACAAAACACTGTTATGTTTGGGATCAAATGTTCCTGCTTGAGTAGATGTTTACAAACTGAACGTTCTCTAGACATTATTTTCCTGCTTTGCGAGGTTCTACCTTCGTTAAAGTCATCAGAAATATCTCACCTGAAAGGTCCACACCCCCTGCTAGGATGGAGGGCTCCTCCACTACATGGAGAGTGGTATCCACCATGATGCCATTCGCCACCTCATCAGAATCGAGGCCTGAGTAGACCTGCAACAGGTCGGTCGCAGGCACCTGCTCGACAATCACAGCTGGGAATACCGACGGATCATCCAGCTGGGAAGAAAGAGGAAACACATGAACACTTGAAATTAGCATACATTCGTGTGTGCGTGTGCGCGTGTGTGTGTGTGTGTGTGTGTGTGTGTGTGTGTGTGTGTGTGTGTGTGTGTGTGTGTGTGTGTGTGTGTGAATGAAACATTAATTTTAATTAATTTTAATTTAATTAATTCCTCCATTACACGTCATTAATGCATTTTTAAAACCTCTCATTGGGTTAATAAAATACCCCGTTTTGGTATTTCTTATAAGTACAATATTGTGGATTTATACTTGTTTTCAGCCAACGTGGAGGCCCTTAGCATGGGAGAGAGCTCACATCTGTGCTGTTGCAGTAGATCTGCTGGGAGCGGCTGGTGAAGACAGGAACCAGCTGTCTGATCTGGCCTACTTCTCCTGAGAAGTTAATCTTATGCCCAGAAATTATCTAAGACCAAATGAATGTTAATGAATCAGATATGAACTGTAGGCGAGCACCTTGTTCATTGCGCTCTGGGAATTCTACCCTCTCGTTTTCAGGCCCGAAGCAGGGAGGAGCGAGGGGACTGAGGGATTTACCAGAGGATGGGCTAAACCGTTGAGCAACATCTGAGAAGACAAACAAGCTGAAGAGCTCCTCGAACACAGATCGTGTCAAGAACGGTCACTGGGCGCCTAGTTGGTCCGTGACTGTTGGGGAGAGAGAGAGAGACCAGTTCTACCCTTTAAGAGACTTGTGGTGCTTAAAGTGGGTCAGCTGAGAGTTAAAGAAGTGGTTCCTAAACCTTTCAGCCTCCAACCCCAGAAAATAAAAGCAACAGAGTCTAGTGGCACCAACTTTGTTTGGTTAAAGCACTATGACATTCCTAATAAGTTATTGTTTGTTTAAAACTACATAAATAGCTAAATGTCTTCGTGTGGGAATCATCAACTCACAGAGGGGTCGTGACCCCAAAAGGTGGGCATTTAAAAAGAAAGAACAGAACCGTTTTAAATTCCTACACTGAATCTTTTATTTATGTGTGCTGACGACCAGCAGATGGCAGCACACTACACTTTAAAAATACAATGAGTCCAAACCCACTGGCACAAACAAAAGAAATCCTCTATGATGTTATTAGTGAATCCACCCACCAGGCAGAGGGAAGGTCAAAAACAACTTAGGAACAAGAAGACTAGACAACTAAATCCATCCAAAAGCTTCAACATGAGCTGTTAAAACAACCTAGAAGCATCCTTTCATCACATCAAATTTAAAATACTGAGATTTGTTTAGTTTAAACAATGAAGATAAATAAAACTAATGTTCCTGTTGTGATGAGCTGATGCAGCAGGGAGACAAAAAGGTGCTGTAGGAGGAACCGAATGAAGGCTTATCTGTCTTTTTACACAAGTGCTCATTGTTGGTTGAGACCCGGGGGCATACCAGGTGTCCAGGCCTTGAGCTGGGGGAGGCGGTGGGCGGAGACGGTGGTATTCAAGTGTATGGCTACGTACCCATGTCTGCTACATTTTAACCACAAAGCTAACAGACTGGCTCGTTATTTGGCCAAAGTGAGAAATAGTTTGGCATTCCATGTTGCACCCGCACTTATTACTCCCAAGGATCTTTATTAGGGTGTGTATGCTCTGTAAACGTTTATGAGACTGGAGGAGGATGGGTCCACTATCAAAACGATGAAAATCAAAAACACACAGCTGTTTCCCCTTTTCATCAGCAAAACCACCAGGCTTCTTATGGACTAATAAAAAACCCTGAGTTTTGCTTTGACTACAGATGCTATCAGTAACTGTGACATACACAGAATGTTTTTCATTAATCAAAAGCTGTGGTAGACACCATCAGATAGCAGACCTCCAGACTGCTGAGTTTTCTTGGATGAACTTAAACGATGTTCACTGTCCTTGAGTGAAGTGAAAGTGTGTGTGTGTATGTGTGTGTGTGTGTGTGTGTGTGTGTGTGTGTGCGCGCGTGCGCGCGCATTAGACAAAAATACGTTCTGCTTGTTGGTCTGCTGAGCTCCTGAAGCTCATCCCACCTCCTACCGTGAAATCCAAAATCTAAATCTCATGAGTTTTTTTGCTGATGGAGCAAAAACACTTAAAGCTGTGGTCTGGATCAGAATTTTTTTTTGTTCTGTGCTGCTTTTGCTTACAAAGCGTCAGACGTGTCTTGCTTAGTCATGCAAATGAAGTGATGACTTGGCCACTTTAAAATGTGCGTGGTGCAATGAACTTCACAAGAGATTGCAGAGACAGAGACTTGCTCAGTAGGTTAAAACTGTGAAAGAGTCCAAGTTGACGTGTTGAATCATATTAAAAATGGTGTATACTGTGACCGTGTCTTCCTGTTTGTTAACTCGAATAGTGTTTCTAGTAGGGGAACCGGTATGATGACTATCAGCCTGATTTGCATTTCTGAGTTCCCCATTTTGCCTTTGAAAGCAACAGCATCTATGTAGGCTGTTCTCCCCCACACCCCACTCTCTTCTGCTTTACCTGCTCTGGCACAATAGACTTTAACTGCCTGTACATTTCCATATCCTTCTTGTGAAATCCGATCACAGCCACACATGTAAATGTTGTTTACCTTCAAGCCAAATGTCCATTGCCACTGTCTCACAAAGATGCACAAAATAAAAAGAACAATTTAGACTTTTATCTCAGATCAGGAGATAAAACTCGACCTAATCGGCCCAGGGAAGCTGTGCATTGCTCTTAAAGCCAGTGTAGCAAAGCTAACCGTTACAGAAGCAACACCTATAATTTAATTCACTTCCACAACTGACAGCAAAATGGCCACTGTGTGTGTGTGTGTGTGTACCGTGAAGTTCCTTTTTTCTGATGCATTACCATGACATGGTAAAAAGAAGGGACAAGCTGCTCATAAAACAGGCCAAGTGGGTGCAACACAGAACAAAGCTGTCACGGTGGAACAATGAGAGACCTTTTAGCTGAATTATCCCGCCTCTTCCAAGCAGCGACACAACTGGTCCGTCAGGTTAGGCCTGAAGCGCTGCTATTCAGGGATCCAGTAACAACTTGTCACTCTAGTTACACTCAAACAGATACCAGCAGGCACGCACACACACGCACACACAAACACACACAAAGCCTGCGCCGCAGGAGCCAGAACCTGGGTACGGAGAAAGAGGCAACCGTGCACCTGATCAGACACTGTCAAGAAACTCAGACACAGTGTGTGCAACAGTCAACCTTTGTGCCAAAAACACATTCATGTCCAGGCCCTACCCGCTCACTCCCACACACCCTAACCTCATCTCTGCTACCCCCCCCCCCCCCCCCCCCCAGCTCTCCTGTCTGACACCTGGGTTGGAGGAGGATGGAGCAGATTAATGGTTTACCCCTGAAAGCACATATCCATCTTATGGCTTCAAAAGGACAGATTTTGGGACCCGTACTAAAAATGGTGCTCCGTTGTGCATCAAAAGAAACCGATCCTTTAAAATATTCATGTGTTTTTCAAGCATGACAGATACCTGACTGATTTCATCCATCCCGTTGCTGGCAAATTCAAACACCAGTTCGCTGGGCTGGACCGCAGTCGTCATCGCGGTGCAGATCAGAGGGCAGGGAGTCGACTAAAATATCTCCACTGTGACTACTCCTCCGCCTTCTCTGCTTCACTCAGCTTCACCTCGCAAAATGGCCTCTGTGTTTCGTCGTGTGGTTCAGTGGCGTGCTGTGGCCCAGGTGGGAGCAGCCTCGTCCCGCTCTGACACAGAGGCTGGGCCCCACTGCGCCTGGAGCATCTACACCTAAAGGAGAGACAGGGAGGGTCAAAGGTCAGCCGGCACATCAGATCAGTTAGGAGTTACAAGCAAAGTGTTAGCCTCTAGTGTCTGTGGGGTTGTTTTTAAGCCTAGTTAGACCCACACATCTTCAGGAACAAGCAGTCTGGTTTAGGTCTAGCTTTTGTCTTTGAGGAGGGAAAAAAATCAGTTTACAGACGGATTTCTGTTTCCTTGTGTGATGAAACTCACACATGAAGTCGCAAACCACCAGTACAGTTGGTGCAAGCACAAGGACATTTTAGTTATCGGTAAACATTTGTTACGTACAACTATAGGCATCTAAAACATGATTCAAATCACATGAAAAAGCTGGAGTTACTATAAATAATTCAGCTAATTGTGCATCAATAATTTTATTTTCTGAAACAGACTCTTCATGTGTTTTGTGTGTAAAACAGAACAACTCAAAATTCATCTACCTCCTTTGAACCGGTGGCTAAATTTCATATCCACAGCTCACTGTTCTTTAGACTCAACTGAGGCATATTGTCAAATCCAGTTGTGAGTGTTTTCCCGGAGCCTGTCTCGGACTCTACTCAACGAGATCTGACTGTTGGACGTCTACCAAGAAAGTTGTGAGTGGACTATACACTCATTTCGAACCATCTGACCAGTCTGGACGTGTTACAGTAGAAATGGGAGCTGGACCTGGGTGTTGGATTGTCTGAGGAGGTCAGGCACAGGATTTTACGGAACGTCCATGAACCTTTGATCTGTGTGAGACAGTGTGATCCAGTTCAAAGTGGTGCACCGTCTGCATTGGTTCAAAACCAGATGATCTAAAAACAAGCCAGCCTTGGATCCAACATGTGAAGGGCTGCAGACGCTCACGTGCCACACTTCTTCACATGTTCTGGAATTGCCTGAAACTACGGTGGTTCATGTTGATGCACTCTCCAAGGACCACTGTACACCTAGATCAGTGGACCTCAGTAGGCGGTCCGCGGGCCCTCTCATTTTTTGAACCCTACGCACCCCCCCCCCCCCCCCCCCCACCCACCCACCCACACACACACACTTGTGTTATACTTTGATGGTGTATATGTGGACGTTTCTTTATGAATTAATTTTTGTGTTTTAATTTGGCGTTCCTTTGAAACATCTAAAATGGAATTTAAAAGAGTTGCTATGAACATTTGCAATCTGGGGTGTTTTAAGGGCAGGAGTTTACTTTGTTACTGACCCTTCTATGAAAAGCCATTAGCTCATTTGTCCCATCAAAACCAATCACTGTTTATTTTTCAAGTTGGGGTGTTCACAGGCACAACAGGTAAGATATCAGCTGTTCATAACTAGTCGACATTTTTACGAGCCTGGCTGTGCAACACCCCGCTGCACGGATCAGAAGGCCCGGAGGTCTCAGGCATTTTGATCACATGATCAGGGTGAGTGAACCTTCCCTCTTCACAGAAAATAACACACCCAGATTAAAGATTAGCAGTCTGAAGATGATCTGGAAGCCCCTCTGGGAATTCCTCTGATCGCAGGCGAGAGGGGGAGGAAAACTGGCGACTGAGGTGTGTCCCAACAACCTGATACCGGGAGGCAGGTTTCGAGTATGGAGCATAGGAGCGGCTGTTTGCTGGAGAGCAAACAGAGAAGGGAACCAAGGGTCCACACCCCCCCACTCTGATCTACCTCAGAGATCAAATAGCTGGAGGGACCTGACAGAGATGTTTGGGACAACAGTCACTATAGCTGAAGGGTGCTTTTAACTGCCTGTAGAGATTGCTAACATTGCATACCAATGGTAGGAGAAAACTTTTGCCGTTTGTGGCATCACCGGGAAAAAACTCTAACACTCAGCTTTACTCCCTTCCAGGCATCCAGACAGAAAAGAAACGTGGCTATTTGTGAAGCAACACTGTGGAAAAGAGAAAAGAGCCAGGAAAACTAAATCTGAGGTCTACTGTTTCACTTGACTCAATCCCTCTCTTCGTCTCTGCAGAGTGTCCGGCTGCCAGAGCTGGACGCTTGCTGCCACATGCGTGGAGCTCTGCCCCTCACTATGCTTGTTGGTCCTACGTATTTGCACGGCGAGACCCATGCACAAAAGACAAGATGTGCTGTGTGAGGGTTTCCAAATTAAGCAAGCTGTAGCAACAAACAACGCTGACAAACAAAAAGACAAATGAAAGAAAAAGAAAATGGAAGGGTTATGTGTTTGCTAAATCACCCTCCATTTACGGTCTCCAGTAAAGCACAATGACACATTTACAGCAGATGTGTTGTGTAACGCAGCATTAAATGGTTACCAAATCAGCAAAGTTTTATGTTTTCATTTCTAAGTGTTTATGTGCCGTCTGTCTGATTTTAAACTACAATGCACCACACTCAGTTTCTATACCTCCCCCTTCCTGCTTCATTGATCTGGATGGCCCAGTTGGCATGGTGCAAACGGCAGAGAGAGATAGAAGAGAGCCAGCCATTCGTCAGATGCAGCCTGCACATTATCCCCAAAGCACATGACAACAGCTGCCTTGTCCCAGCACAGAGGCCGGGTTGTGGCTGCTCGCTACGTCACGGCGGGAAGAGGAGGAGAACAGAGAAGGGACTGGGAGGGATTTCAAAGAGATCTTAGTCAATGCATAATCGTCCACTGAGCCTGTGACTCGCTCTGGGTGGAGTCCTATTTTGACAGGCTCTAGTATTTTAGAGCGGTTACCAGGAGTGGAGTTGGGGTGAAGCCTGCAGCATCAAGTGCTTAACTGCAGAGTCCTGTGATGAAATCCAAGCAAACACGAGCTGCATGTAATCTATCATTTTGTACAATTTTCATTTGTTTTTGGTATAATTTTCTAAAGGTGCAACACTCACACATGAGCTTACACACATTTTGAGTCAATGTCAGCACATTTATCTGATTAGATGACTTTAATAACCACACCAGTGGCCACCTTTGCTGGCTGGTTGAGGCTCAAAGTCTACCTTTTTAAAAAAAAAATTAGTTTTTTTTACCAGCAGTCAGAAACAATTCATTCAAACTGTGAGCAAGAACAACTGCATAGAAGGCCGACACTTGCTTTATGACTCATTATTATAATTATTATTATTTGTTGTTATTTGGTGTCATTTTTCATTAAATCTCATGAGCTTCAATAATTTCTTACACACTAGCTGCTGGTTTAATTCATTGTCATGGACTGACGTTAAAACTCGAATGTGATGGTCAGGTTCAGCAGTAAGTTGTCATTACGATGCTAGGGCTGCTCAATTAATCGAATTTTAATCACGATTACGATATGAGTTTTGAACGATTATAAAAACAAAACAAGCCGATTATTTGCTCCTCCCACTTGCGCTGCCCTGAGTTGCAAATGAAGCGCTCCTCCCACAGTGTTGCCAACTTATCGACTTTGACGCTATTTCTAGCAGCTTCTCAGACCCCCTTCTTGACTTTTTAAATCTTAAAAGTACCTAGCAAACACCTCAGAAACATCTCTGGTAACCCTTAGCTACTTTCTGGATAACTGTCGTCGACGTTTCCTGCAGGTTAGCTAAACACTCCGCCTGCGCTCCGCCTGCGCTCCGGACCGTTCTTCACAACATTAGGAAAGGGAATGATGTAGTGATGTGTCAGTCGCTAAAGAAGCGGCTCTCGGAGCCGGCTCCCTGTTGGATTAACCAGAATGAGTGACACACACACCGCACCTGCGGACTCCTGAGCCACTAAAAACGGCTAAATGTGCGCGTGCGGCGCGCTAAATACACGTGCAGCTTGCCCCGATTGCTGAGACCGGGTTGGGGGGTGGGGGGTGCAGCTGTGGTTGGGACAATTATTACATTAACTGATGGACCTGTAAATACATAGTTTATAAATAAGGTAGAAATAAGTTCCTCACGCTGATAAATAATAACTAATCTCTCTGAGGACACGGTGCTAGTGCACTCTCTTACAGCACCTTGACACGACTCAATAAATGTTATGCAACATTTTGTGAACATCAATTTGCATTTGTTATAAATGCCACTGTATAATTCTTGCTGTCAGTATTTGCAAGATATTGGTATTTGGGTCTGTACTGGTTAGACTTAAATGAGTTAAACCAAGGTCTATAGCCCTTGGGTCATAAACTATGAGCTGTAAGTATATTGGTCTTTTTATACTGGGAATCAGGAGTTATTTTAGTGATCATCTTGTTTCTTATTTATTTTTGTCCTGATTGTGCCCTGAGCAGTTTTATGACTGAAAAAAAAAAAAAATAAAATAAAATCAACATAAATTGAAAAATCGTCCTAAATAATCGAGATCTCAATTTCAGTCACCATAATCGTGATTATTATTTTTGCCATAATCGAGCAGCCCTACTATGCATTCATCAGTGAGAACAGCTGAAGGGAAGGTCATGTGATCTAAGTCACAGGATTCCTTTTGTCAGTTTACTCTCCTCCTCCAGCAACCATGACTGAAATATGCCGTGGCCGGATTTTACAAGGAGTACAAATCAAACGCTGGCCTACCCCACCCCTTCAACATGGTGATTGCCAGTCGCAATAACAACCAATTAGACCAAGGATTCAGGAACAAATAGAGCATTCCCAGAAGGCCCCACTTCCCTGCTTTAAGTCTCCTCAGCTGAGCTCATTGTTGACCATGAAAGGAGGTAATTTAAGCCAATTGAATGACTATGCAGTGACTCACCCTGCATGTGGTGAGTGCAAACATTATGAGATGCAAGAAAAAAGGACCAAGCAACTTTTACTTATCAGCCATTCTCCACGCGTTACAAAAAACAGTTTTTTTAAGTGTGTGTGACAGTGCACTTAGGTGGCTGTAATGCCGGTGTTGCAAGACAGTTTCCCCACACAGGTAAAAATAGCATAGAGGCTACATGTGTAATGTGAAACATGTGAAAACGCCTGCAAACATGTTGCAAACTGGCAGAAAAGGGTTTTGTCACCCATCTTACAGGAATGGGAAATAACTGACTACAAATACAAGAAATATTTAACTTACAAAGTCC